ACCCATTAAAAAAAAAAAAAAAAAAAAAAAAAAAAAAAAAAGAGTTGCTTTGACAATCATACCACCCTGGTTTCAGGTGGCTAATGTATCCACAGAGCACTCTACCCCCAGGGACTTTCTCTCACATGCACAGGGGACATTCCCCTGGACAGATCACATGCTGAGCCACAAAGCAAGTGTCAGTAAATTGTAAAGGATTGAAATAATACAAGAACTAAATTACAAATCAGTAACTGAAGAAAATTTATGAAATTAAAGATATGTGGAAACTAATATGCTCCTAAATGAACAATGGGTCAAAAAGAAATCACAAAGGAAAACTAAAAATAGTTTTAAGATTAATACAAATGAAAATTATGTATGAAAAATTATGTTGCATTTTAGTAAAGATTTCTATTTTTGTTTTTTGAATTATATGTGTGCATATGTGTCTGTGTGGGGTACATGCATAAGAATGCTGTTACACATGGAGGCAAGAAGAGGGTGTTGGATCCCCTGGAGCTGAAGTTACAGGTAGCTGTGAATCACCTAATATGCATGCTCAGAACCAAACTCTGGTCCTCTGCAAGAGCAGTACAAACTCAACCAGAGTCCTCTCTCCAGGCCTAATATATTGCCTTTTAAAAAAATTAACATATGACAGGCATGGTGGCACACACCTTTAATCCCAGCACTTGGGAGATAGAGGCAGGCAGATCTCTGTGAGTTCAAGGCCAGCTTGGTCTACATAGTGAGTTCAGGCCATCTGGACCCTGTCTCAAAAAAATACCAAAAAAAAAAAATTAGCATGTGCTCCCAAATTAATATGGAAATGGAAGGGATTCCCAATAATCAAAATAATCTTCAAAGATAACAACAAAGCTAATTTCTAAAGTTAGTGATTTAATCAGTGGATGAGAGGCTATTATGGTTTGACTCTAAAATGCCCCCTACAGGTTCATGTGTTTGAATATTTGTTCCTTAGCTTAGTACAAAGAGGGCTAGGGATGCAGCTCAGTTAGTAAAGTGCTTGCTTAGCGTGCACAAAGCCCTGAGTGCAATGCCCAGCTCTGTATAAACTGAGCATGGTGGTACATGCCTGACATCCCAGCACTCAGGAGATGAAGTTAGAAGAATCAGAAGCTCAAGGTCATCCTTGGCTACAGAGAGATTTCCAAGTCAGCCTAGGCTACATAAGTTTAAAATTAAAAAACAAAATTAAAAAAAAACACTATAAAGCCAGGCATGGTGTCACACGCCTTTAATCCCAGCACTTGGGAGGCAGAGGCAGACAGATCACTGTGAGTTTGAGGCCAGTCTGGTCTACATAGTGATCAGGCCAGCTGGGGCTACAAAGAGACCCTGTCTCAAAAAGACCAAAAAAAAAAAAAAAACAAACAAAAAAAAACACTATAAAGATATAGTACTGAGGTGACTGGGGATGTAGCTTGGTGGTATTGAACTTGCCATCTCAAACCAGTAGCCTAAATTTTCACCATAAGAAACTAGAAAAAAAGCAACATGGTAGTTCATGCTTGTGATCCCAGAATTTAGGAAGCAGAGGCAAGAGGGTTGCCATAAGTTTGAGGTCAGCCTGGCTTATATAGTGTGTCCCAGCTGGAGACTCTGGGAGTTGGGCTGGGGCTACAGGGAAACCCTGTCTCTAATTAATTAGTTAATAATAAAAATTTTAAAATAAAGTAGAAAATGAACAGGAAACTAAACTCAAAACAAGGAAATAATAATTATTTCAGTGGAAATAAATGAAATGAAGAACAGAAAAACAATGGAATAAATGAAACCCATAGTTGGTTCTTTGAAAAGATCAACCAGGGCTGGAGAGATGGCTCAGCGGTTAAGAACACTGACTGTTCTTGCAGAAGACCTGGGTTGGAATCCCAGCACCCACATGGCAGCTAACAACTGTCCGTAACTCCAGTTCCAGGGGATCCACCAGCCTCTTCTGTCCTCCGCCTGGCATCACACGACACGGGTGCACTTACCTACGTGCAGGCAATACCTGCATACTCATAAAATAAAAATAATAAAATATTTTAAAAAAAGAAAAGATCAACCAAAATTACAAACCTTTAGCTAGATTGACCAAAAAAAAAGGAGAAATTAGTCAAAACATTAAAACTCAAAGTGAGAGAATATTACTGCCAAACTTACAGAATGAGAAGCGGTTACAGGAGTCCACTATTAAAAATATTATGCCAACAAACAACTTAGATGAAATGGACATATTCCTAGAAAGAAGCAGACTAACAGGCTGACTCAAGAAACACCTGAATAATCCTATTACAAGAGACTGATATATAATCAAGTAATTCCCCACAAAGAATGCCCAGGCCCAGACAGACCCACTAGTGATTTCTACCAAATATTTTTAAAGTAACATTGTTACTTCACAAAACTTTCCAGTAAAATAGAAAAGGGAGAATGTGTTACCATTTGTTCTGTGAGGACAGTATTAATACCCTGATACAAAACCAAAGGCATCACACGCAAAGACCAGACCAGTATGTCTTCAAATAGATACACAGTCCCAATAAGAAGCTAGGAAGCTTAAGTCCCACAACTTGAAAAGGGACATCCACCATGATGGATGGTGCTTATCTGAGGAGTCTAAGGTTAGCACAGCATGTAAAAATTAACCAATGTAAGCTGGACACAGCAGCACATGTCTGCACCCCCTGCTTCTCTGAAAGCTTCAGTCCAGTGTACCTTACTTAATTCTAGCAGTGAACAATTTAAATGAAATTAGGAAAATAGCATCACTT